TTCTGAGCAAGGGAAACACACACAGTTAATGCTAATTTCATCCTCAATCTTTTCTTCTCTTTCTCTGACATCTCCTGGTCTCAGACTGCTTCTTGCCTTTGTTCTTTGGAGGGATTCCCCTCCTGTCGGAGATGTCGGGTGGGGTGGAGGGTACTACATAAAACTCATGTGTTCTACCTGTCTCTAGTCTGGAGTGGAACTTCTAGAAACCAAAGTCAAGGTTACAGCAATACCAGGTTATCAATCCACGTTTACACTAAAGACATTTCCCTTGGAGATGTTGCGAGACTCTTTCTCAATAACCCACAGCCTCTTTCTCAAATTTCGTGTCTTTATTCTGCGCTACAACACCAAATAGGGGATTTGAAGAAAGGAGTATTTGAAGATGAGTCCTGAGCTGCCTCGCACAAAGGACTCAGCAATTAGAACATCTCAGACACAAAACAATCTGCCAGGCCATCAAGCGCCCCGAAGATCACTTCCCAGGCCATTCAAAGGAAGGATAATGAAGAGCTAAACAATTCACAGAAGACTCCACAATCACTGCTCAGGAAAAGAGCAGGATGTGTGGCTAAGACACACCATTGTCTACTAAAAATAGGCTCGCTCTGAGGACGCACAGAAAGCTGGGTGGTGGCAGAGGGCTGGTGTTGGAGAAAAAAAAAATGTCCTGAAGGAATCAGAGATTTTTGTTTTTCTCTAGTTCCTCTCTATTTCCTATCTTGGGAACTGGATAGTTTTATAATATTTGAGTTGAAAATGTTTGGAAACTGTGATACTGAGAGCACCCACCAAAACTCTTGGCACGGATTATTTTCATGTATGTGGCTAAATAGTCACTTATAATTTTGAAGCCAGTTTCATGTGAGCCAAGGTTCTATTACTTGTAATTTACAGCAATTTTTATTGAATTCACATATTCTCCTTATTTAAAAATAGTACAAATTAAATATGTATGAAGCTATTATAAACCTGTTACCTAGAATTAAAATTGTTAATGGATACATACGAAGTAAACACTACAACAGCACCAAGTCGCAAACACTTGGGGTTTTTCTACTGATCACAGTGAGTTCATGGCTCACCTAAGCCAGATGAGGGACTCACTCCTGAGGGCACTAACTGCTGACCAGTGAACAGCACCTGCTCACCTCAGGAAAATGGGACAGGATGAATGAAACAAAGCAGGTGTCATTCCAAGAATGAAGTACTAAATCTTCCTGTAAATGGCGGGATAGGAGATCCTCCATTCCCTAGAAACGCTTTACTTACGTTTGCAACTCTTTGAGGTTCTCTGTCCTTTTCTCTCTGTGTTTTCAGAGTTGAGGCCATTCAAACATGGCTTTCTCCCACATCTGACTAATTCTGTTCTATTTGGCTTTCCAGCACCTGGGTTCATGCCTCCAGTGCTTGAGAGTAGATTGGCTGATGTACCTCTCTTACCTCAACGATTTGCAGGCATCCTCTGAGTCCAAATTTTGGTGGTTTGTGTTATAGACCTAGTTGAAAACCAGTGGAAAGTCTAACTAATCACATCTTTTCCACATATTGATGCTCTTGTACTTTAGGAACAATGACCTGCAACAATGCTTGCAACAATGCTTGTAACAATGCTTGCCAAATGCTTGCAACAAAACCTGCAATTCTGTGTAGCTAGTAGATGTATGTTGATTACCAGACAGGTATAAATCCACACTGGGACAGCATCGGGTTCTGATTATACTGATCTGAGAGTGAAGGCTGCAGGTAATTTTCTTAAAAGTAGCTTTTAAAAGTTACTTAGTGACATTAACATCTAAATGCATGTGCTATGATTTATAGACACACAAAACTATACTTAGTAACAAAATATGGGAAAATAAAGGCTGAAAATATATATGTCTATTGAAGAAAATGAGAGACAGAGGGGCCAGTAGGAAGTGCCGTCCTATTATTGATTCAAAAACCCAATATCACAAATGTGTAAATGTCTCTGTTGGCAACACAGCACCACCTTCATTAAGCAGCACCAGACGGTCTCCATGGAATTGGAACATCATTGTCTAAAGGATTATAAGGAAGAAAAGTCTACAAAATAAATAATACACTAGAAATAAGCACACAGTTTGGTATCATTTATGTGAGAAGTCGTATGTGTGGGAAGAATTGCTTAATCATATAATGGAGGAATATATATAGACAATAGCATGGATGACTAGGTAGACAGACAACAGACAGACAACAGATAGACAGACAGACAGACAGACAGACAGGTGGATGATAGAAGAGACTAGGCACTTCTGTTTTCTCTGAGATGCAAGAACAGATTGGAAGTTTTGGCTGCTTTTCATTTTTGTCTTTTAAATTTTCACTCACAGGAAAATAACATCTGATAAAAGGATAATTTTTAGGAAAAGAGAATCTTCTGATATATATTGCCTAAGTTGTTACAAACCATGGCCCTGACTTTGTAAAGTTTTTGGTTTGCTGCTGGAGTTGCCACTTGGAACAAGGATCCTGGGTAGATGTGTGCAGACGGAGTGGGCTGTCCTGGCTTGAGAAATAATGGTCCAGGTACAGGCACCTGTTCCTCCTGCCTTGGGAATCCTGACCACTAACCCTTCAGCAGCCATCAGAGCTGTCCATCATGTCAAGGAAATAACCAATTAGCTGTCTGACAATTCAGCAAGCCTTGTATAACTCTAGGAAGCAGCTGATCTCTTTTATAACTTTGATGAATTAACATTTAATTCCTTTCTTAAGGAGCCACACAGACCTCCCTGTCCTCAGTGTAAATGCCACCTGGCTGCCGACAGCCAACAGGACCAAGATGTCCAAATCCTTATACTTGACTTCCAGTGAATCAACAAAAGGACTGACTCCAAGATGCTCCTCCACTCCCCGCCCTGCCCCTCCGATGCCAAGTCGAAAGCACACCACAGGACTCTCTAAGTCAAGTCTTGTAATTGCTTCCAATTTGTCTGTTTTGCTTTTGGCAATTAACAAGCTGAAATGTTATCACAGAAGAGTTCATCTCATTTATAAGACTAGGTTTTCCCACCACTAAAATATGCAGGCACTCTGTCCTTCACTACCGGCAAGAGATAAATGGCTGGTTTTCGTTGCTGAAGAATATATAATGGTTAAAAAGTCACTTTTTTCCTCCAGCTCTACATAAATCACGGAACTAGTCAATATTTAATAATGCTTGCCTTGGTCTGGAGTCCCTTGATCACCCCTGTCATGTGTAATAGCTCCCTCTCCGATATCTTTGACATAAAAGCCCAGCTTTACTGAAATGCTAACATGTAGAGGGTCATTACGGATCGACATTTACCTTAATCTGTGACTGCCAACCATGAACCGATAAATTCCAGCAGATTCCACTGGGAGAAATCAGTAAACTTCTCAGTGGAAAGACGTGAAGGAAAATTCTGCCGAGGACAGAATACATTTGCTACAAGGGCTGCTTAGCAAATGGATTCTGACTTTTGAAAGTTCTCTTGCTGCCCAGCTTTGCAACATTTAATACCGTTTTGATGGTTTGAGGGACGGGATGACAACCAGAGATGACAGGACTTAGAAGGCAAGCAGAAATGTTCTCTGCAAAAACAATGCAAGATTAAACAGGAGGGGAACATGGCCCTTGCATTATTCACCCAGCAGCCTCCGTTAGAAAGAGCTGGGCTGTCATGGGTCTGGCCTAAATGTTGCTTCTTTTTTTCAAATCGATCATCGCTCCTTCACCTCATAATCTTACGAGTGCCTCACAGCAGAATACATCAAAGCCCTGATTGCATAAAAAAGGGGCACGCCAATCTTTGAGGGGATCAGCCAAGACTCCGACTCAGAGTCCATTCAGTGTGCATTTGCTTATTTGCTTGCAGACATACTATGGAACTTGAGGAATACCTTCTTCAAAGCCTTGAAAGGTTCGCTTTTCTTTCCCTGTTGCTTTTATACATTTTGGGGATGCAATTAAGTCTTACAAGTAGACATAACACAGACACAAATGATGTTCTGGAGGGTACTCTTTTCTTCTTACTAGAGCATGTCTATTTGCTACTAGTTTGAAAACAAATATTTAAAACATCTCCTATAAAATTACTATGACTTCTTTGGAGAAAGTGATAAAGAAAACAGTTACTAAAAATACTAGTTAAATTTCCTAGTGAGACACGACCTGTAGTGCTTCTCTGGTGGGCTGTGCTTACACGAGTCGTGCCAACAGAACCCAATATACTGAAATGGAGAATCTGATGATATTTTCAAGAAACAACAATGGTCCAATCCCTTATTCAATTGAATACTTGACACATCCAGATTACCAAGTTAGTGGAGAATTATGAAAATCGCAACCAGAAATAAGCTACCTGGGATGAAGTGCAACGTCAAGGCTGAAGACTTTACACAGATCATAGTTTAGGCTTGAATTGTGTTTCAGGCAAGGAAGGGACACACAGGAACTTTCATTTGCTAGAAATCCAGCTCAGTACCCCAGAGATGACGGAAACCATAGAGGCTGCCAACCCCTGGCTGTATGACGAACTGCTCATACCTATGATGACGCTTAATTTCTATGTTAGAAAGTCAGAGGCTGATAAGAGGTAACCAAAAACTGAGCAATTATTTCAATATGATAGAATAGGCATTTATGGAAACCATATATACAGTCTTGTCTTTTCTTTCTGGAATTTTTCACTTAACAGTTTGGCTAGTTGACCACAGGTAGATTAAATGCCAGAAACACCTTTGTCCTGTGAACACAACCTGAGTATAGATGGTAAGAACCGTCTATACAGCATGCTGATACACACCTTACTGGACCCTACCCTGGTTGTAGCCCTCACAGTTCTGGGTACTGTGTGTGCACAGAGTACAGCCTCTCTAACTCATCTACATAGGTTCAATTTTTTAGGAAAAAAAATCCAGAAATGAGAAGTAGGCTAAAAGCAAATGTTCAGGTACAGATAAACGGTTTTCTGATGTTATTAAAGGTCTAAGAATTGCACACAATTTACCTCGATCTGCATAGAAACTTCCAGTAAAAAGGACTGAGTAGGTTAAGCGCCCATTAGGGTGAGGAGGACCATCCCATCTCACGTAGGCTTCCCGGGATCCCTCAGGTGTTACGAGTAAGTTGACCACACCTTCCGGAGGAGCTTCTAGGGTCCGATTTTCTACCTGTGAGTATAAAAAGGATTTATTTTGCTTGCGAATAAAATATGTGCATGCTGTGGTTTGAGCATACATCTTCAAAGAATCTTTTGGCCGTGAAGCAAACTATCTGTGGCAGTAGCATCCTATGTGCATGCCTCGGTTTGTCAGGGGCTAGGCAGACCTTGTGTGTTCCTTCCTCCTGCTGAGAAAGCTTAGAATTTCAGTTCCTGACCAAGACACTGGGTTGTGACTTCTGCAGGATTTCAATTGATTCACAGTGAGCTTGTGTTCATGGCTGTGCATAATCATATACTATTTTCAAAGATGCTTAAAGATGATTTTTAAGTGATTGTAAAAGAAAAAGAGATACACATGATATGTTTTCCTAAATTCCCAGTTTCTTGATGGGAGGGATAGACTCTCATTAAAAAGTCACCAGAAGCCCTCTCTTCTCCTCTCCTCTCCTCTC